AAAATATATAGATTTATTAGAAAATGAAACAAGTTTATCTAATAGTTATCTTTCATACAAACATAAAGTGGGAGCTCTATATAATATTTATAAATCTAAGTAATTTTTCCATAAGGTTACAGGTTACATGTTAAATTGCAAATTTTTTAAATAAAACATTTAAAAAAATGTACAGTTAAGTGATCTGCTTTTTCATAAGGGTATTTCTTATTTTCTTAAGAAGTTGTTTTGAAACTATCAGAAGATTTGATAAAAGAGCACAGTCTTGTACTGGCCAGCCCCCATATTGTTTGTATTGTATTGTGCCACAAAATATTATTTGTTATTGTTCTATTATTAGATATTAAAATATTTATTGAAACCACAATCATTTAACGTAGGTATACTCATTCCAACGATAATGGCACCACCTTTTTACATAATATTGTTTTATACGAGGTTTACTTATATTTATAATTATATTATTTGCCATGTAATTTTATAGAAGTATAACTTTTTACGTGGGTACCCCAGCACCAACTGTCCGCTGGTTTTTAATATAAAAAATCTCTTATCTATCTCCTGAAATCTAATAAACTTTTTCAAAATTACTAGATGTTTAATTCAACATTATGCTAAAATTAATTTATGTCGTTTAAATCGATCGACCTAATTGTCAATAACATTGCGTCCAGCATAGTTATCTTACCTCTTATATCTCTACCTTCGGATGCTGATACGCAACATTTCTTGAAGTCTTGAATTACTTTTGGAGACATTGTTATATGCTGACCAAAACAAATTTTGTACTAAAGCCTGCTTAGTTTTTGTTTCTTCAAATCGTTCTCCTTTCTATTTTCAATGCCATACTTTTCGATGGATAGAATTTGTATATTTTCTGTAATAGAGAATTCCTTTTAACCACAGTGAATATTTAACTTTACAAACATTTGTTTTTCTGTAAATGTCGAATAAGTAGCTAGCCTCCTCTTAGTGTTAACTGTAATTTAAAAAATTTTATTTTTTAGTGCAATTTGACTCTAAAAACATAATAGATTTTGAGCTGCTTTCGTCAATAATGTTCTTTTTTCATTAAAGCCGCTTACTACTGAGCCAACACTGCTTGTTACTTATAGGTACTTACGTTATTGATTACCACAAAATTATATTAAAAATGGCTAATCACTAAACTAAATAATGGAAGAAACGAAGTACTGTAGATCGAAAAATTTTATCAGTAAGACGTATTTGAATGCGGTTTTATGAACTCATCTAATTAGAGCCCCAGGGAACTTCGTGACTTAAATTGATGAGAAAAGAATTCAAAGTATGAAATTTGTATAAATAATATGAATTCGATACTTGCCTTTTTAACTGACTGAGAATACTGAATTCACAATTCGGTTAACAGTCTAAAAAATGATTTCAAACTCGTTGATTAAGGGCTTTGTGGATCGCTGATTATCAATATTGTGACAGTATTTGTTTCCGATGCCTAGAGCCCAGGGTAAATAGTATTCCGTCATTTTTTGGAGTTTCCAATAAATTCGTTGTATAATAGGTACAAACTTGTGACTTAAGGTATTTCATCAAATACGAATATCGTGACTAAATTGGTCTTCGTGGTACTTGATGCGCAGGATGAACGGTCTGTTGTCTCTTAGAGTTTTTAGGAAATTTGTCAAATAACTCGCTTCAACTCGATTAGGAATATAGGACATTCGAAATAAAAAAATTTTAAGACGATACTATAATCTAAAGAATATCTGTTAAAATTGTTGACTATTATAAAAAATTAAAAAATTGCTCATCAAACACATGCTTAACGGTCGTTGTAATGTAAAAAGGTAAGTTCCTGGTTATAAAAAAAAATTACGTACATTACAATATTTCAAAACGATTTGCTGATGTTATGATAATAAAAAAATGTTCATCCGATGTACCAAAAAAGAAATAATATAATTAAAAACTATCTTCATAGAATAAACAATAAATTCTAATTAACTAGTGATAATTTAGTGATTGATTATATCATTATAAGGATTATATTGAATACATACTATTGTTAATTTAAAATAACACAAATACTACTGGTAATTTCAAATTATATAATATATTTATAACAACATCTATAAGCGTAGAGATAATAGTAGTTTTCCTACGAGTTTGAAAAGTCTCTGTTTGCGAACCGAGAGGTTTACGGCCCGAGCTGAAGGCAAGGGACGTAACGAAGTTCGTAAAGGAGACTTTTCGAACGAGTTCCGGAAAACTGCTTTTTCGCCCGAGGAAGTACTAGCCTCCCAAAACCACCCGAGGGCGCAAAAATATTTTTTTTTGCACTAGAGGATGAGATGTACATTAAAAAAATTTTCGATAAAATTAAAAATAATGTGGTGGTATGTAGATAGCTGATACAAAGTTTAAAATAATTAGTATGGCCCTTACCAGTATACATAGTTGGAGGTAGAATCGTAAAGTTGTTAATTTATTTGAACATGTAAAAAAAAAAAAAAAAGGAAAAAAAAAGAAATACTGATCAAAAAAGATAATTAAATGTCAAATAATTGTTTTTACTCTCAAAAGACATTCAAAGTATCAAAATTAAGAAGTTGTATCAAAAAAATTTTACCCAGGACTTAACAAATAAAATTATTAAAGTGCATCAATGTATAGATCAAATATGGAAATACGGAGATTAGTCACATGAATTATTGAATGTACCAATGCCATGAAAAATGAAGTCATACACAAATTAAAATATTTATTTGCATTGTCACATTTTTTACAGCAATAATCTGTATTAAATTTTTTTGGTTGTATTGGTAAATTCAATGCTTTTTATGACCTATTTTCACATTTTAATATTTTATTTGAATGTAAAAACGCATCGATCATTGTATTATCAGAAAAGTTTTTTGTAAAACTTTATACATAGATTAAATTGTTTAAATATAGATTATGATATTTGTTTGCCCTGTGACACTTTTCCACAGTAGTAATATGTTTGTATTCGGTTAAATGACACTAAAAGAGATTTTTTCAGTTCTATGTTGTCAAAATCATTGAATATATTTTACAGATCGTCTCGAAGATTCTGGATAAAAGTTTTTATGTAAAACATTCATTTTTTCTTTTAATCTCTACCATTGACAAACAAAAATTGTATGTTGAACAACCTGCTGTTTTATAAGGGTATTTCTTATTTTCTTAAGAAGTTGTTTTGAAACTATCAGAAGATTTGATAAAAGAGCACAGTCTTGTACTGGCCAGCCCCCATATTGTTTGTATTGTATTGTGCCACAAAATATTATTTGTTATTGTTCTATTATTAGATATTANTTATATTTAAAAATGATAAAAATTATATAAAGTCTTTTTTAAAATACCTAACTTTATTCGATATCAATGAGGACCAATTAAAACTCAAATCATGAACTTAAAAATGTATGACTTCCAAGCTATATCGTCACAGTAAAGAAAATAATAAGATTCAGTATTTCGAATTAAAAACTACATGGGTACTCTCTGATATTAGATACAAACGAGGTTGTGAGTGAAACTGCTAGAAGATAGTCAAAGCTGGTAGAGGCTATGAGAATTAAAAAGGTCAATAGAGGGTTGATGGGGATTTGGGTCAGGATACAGATTTGTATAAAAATAAAGGCAAACAAACGTATTTAACCTTATTTTAAAGGAGGTTCTTTTTGAAGTAGGGAACGGTCGTATAGTATCATGAGATCTGTTGCCAGCCCTACTGAAATCTATATTCAATATGGGTGAGCATGTACCCCTTTATCAAAAATTATCAATATATTCTTATCAAGTAGCGCAATCGCACCACGCCGGTGAGTTTGGAAAGTCTGCAGTAGCACCTGGATACACTAGTGACTTCTAAGTTTCAATTTCTGAAATTTAATCACTGGAAATACGGATTCAGTACTATATTGGATCAGAGTTATTTTAATATTATGATAATTTATACGCTTATTAACGATTTTCAGCAGAAAAGTTAGTAACAACACAATTAAAATTTAATAATCAAGATGATTGAAAGAAACAAGTACACATGTATGCAAAAGTTTCGTCGGCTATACCACAGTTACAATCGCTTGCACCATCTCATCAATTTT